AACACAACGAAACACAACAAAACACAACAAAACACAACGAAACACAACAAAACACACGAAACACAACGAAACACAAAACACACGAACACACAAAACACACGAAACACAACAAAACACAACGAAACACAACGAAACACAACGAAACACACGAAACACACGAAACACACGAAACACAACGAAACACAACGAAACACAACGAAACACAACGAAACACAACGAAACACAACGAAACACAACGAAACACAACGAAACACAACGAAACACAACAAAACACAACGAAACACAACAAAACACAAAAAACACAACAAAACACAACGAAACACAACGAAACACACGAAACACAACGAAACACAACGAAAACACAACAAAACACAACGAAAACACACGAAACACAACGAAAACACAACGAAACACAACGAAACAAACAAACACACGAAACACACGAAACACAACGAAAAACAACGAAACACAACACAAACACAACGAAAACACACAACGAACAACAACAACACGAAACACAACGAAAACACAAAAACACGAAACACAAACGAAACACAACAAAAACACAACGAAAAACACAACGAAACACAACGAAACACAACGAAACACAACGAAACACAACGAAACACAACGAAACACACAACACAAACACAACAAAACACAACGAAACACAACAACGAAACACAACGAAAACACAACAAAACACAACGAAACACAACGAACACAACAAAACACAACGAAACACAACGAAAACAACAAAACACAACGAAACACAACGAAACACACAACACAAAAACACACGAAACACAACGAAACACAACGAAACACAACGAAAACAACAACACAACGAAACACAACGAAACACACACGAAAACACAACAAAACACAACGAAAACACACACAAACACAACGAAACACAACGAAACACAACGAAACACACGAAACACAACGAAACAACACACAAAACACAACGAACACAACAACAAAACACAACGAACACAACGAAACAACGAAACACAACGAAACACAACAAAAATTCAGTCCTGGTTTAGACCTAGATTAGTTCTAGTTTAGTCCTGGTTTATTTATTTATTAATTTTTTTTATTTTATTTATATTGCACTTTACATAAAATAATCTCAAAGTGCTACAGGTAAAAACAATGAGTAAAAAGGTGCATTAGTCCTGGTTTAGACCTGGTTTAGTCCTGGTTTAGACCTGGTTTAGTCCTGGTTTAGACCTGGTTTAGTCCTGGTTTAGACCTGGTTTAGTTCCTGGTTTAGTCCTGGTTTAGTCCTGGTTTAGTCCTGGTTTAGACCTGGTTTTAGTCCTGGTTTCAGTCCTGGTTTAGTCCTGGTTTACACCTGGTTTAGACCTGGTTTATTCCTGGTTCAGTTCTGGTTTAGTCCTGGTTCAGTCCTGGTTTAGACCTGGTTTAGTCATGGTTTAGTCCTGGTTCAGCTCTAGTTTAGTTCTGGTTTAGTCCTGGTTCAGTCCTGGTTTAGACCTGGTTTAGTCCTGGTTTAGTCCTGGTTTAGTCCTGGTTTAGGTCTAGTTTAGTCCTGGTTTAGTTCTGGTTTAGTCCTGGTTCAGCTCTGGTTTAGTTCTGGTTTAGTTCTGGTTTAGTCCTGGTTCAGCTCTGGTTTAGTCCTGGTTTAGTCCTGGTTAGTCCTGGTTAGTTCTGGTTTAGTCCTGGTTTAGTTCTGGTTCAGTTCTGGTTTAGTCCTGGTTTAGCTCTGGTTTAGTCCTGGTTTAGTCCTGGTTTAGTCCTGGTTTATTCCTGGTTTAGTTCTGGTTTAGTCCTGGTTTAGTCCTGGTTTAGTCCTGGTTTAGTCCTGGTTCAGTTCTGGTTTAGTCCTGGTTTAGTCCTGGTTTAGTCCTTGTTCAGTCCTGGTTTAGATCTGGTTTAGACCTGGTTTATTCCTGGTTTAGTCCTGGTTTAGTTCTGGTTTAGCCCTGGTTCAGCTCTGGTTCAGCTCTGGTTCAGTTCTGGTTTAGTCCTGGTTTAGTCCTGGTTTAGTCCTGGTTTAAGTTCTGGTTTAGTTTTCCTGGTTCTGGTTTAGTCTGGTTTAGTCCTGGTTTAGTCCTGGTTTAGTCCTGGTTTAGTCCTGGTTCAGCTCTGGTTTAGTCCTGGTTCAGTCCTGGTTTATTCCTGGTTTAGTCCTGGTTTTAGTCCTGGTTTAGTCCTGGTTTAGTAGTCTGGTTTAGTCCTGTTTAGTCCTGGTTAGTCCTTGTTCAGTCCTGGTTTAGATCTGGTTTAGACCTGGTTTATTCCTGGTTTAGTCCTGGTTTAGTTCTGGTTTAGTCCTGGTTCAGCTCTGGTTCAGTTCTGGTTTAGTCCTGGTTTAGTCCTGGTTTAGTTCCTGGTTTAGTCCTGGTTTAGTTCTGGTTTAGTCCTGGTTTAGTCCTGGTTTAGTCCTGGTTTAGTCCTGGTTTAGTCCTGGTTTAGTCCTGGTTTAGTCCTGGTTCAGCTCTGGTTTAGTCCTGGTTTAGTCCTGGTTTAGTCCTGGTTTAGTCCTGGTTCAGCTCTGGTTTTCAGTCCTGGTTTAGTCCTGGTTTAGTCCTGGTTTAGTCCTGGTTTAGTCCTGGTTTAGTCCTGGTTTAGTCCTGGTTTAGTCCTGGTTTAGTCCTGTTCTAGTCCACACACGGTGCAAAACTTCAGCATCTTCTCGCGTCCATGAGGAGAAACATCTGAAAAGTCTGGGTCTGGTTTTCAAAACCAGACGGAGCAGAACCTGGTCAGAAGCGGTCGTCTCACCTGACCACGGTCACGTACTCGCCGGCGTCCTCCAGGGTGACGTTGAGGAACCACAGGGTCTCGGCCGCCACCAGGAGGCGCCCGCTGCGGTTGGCGAGCGGCCGGTCGGAGTCCAGCCGGTACCAGGCGACGTCGGGGGCCTCGGCCGACAGGTTGAGGCACGAGGGCGAGAGCAGAGTGCTGTTCAGCATCGCCACTTCGCCCGGCACCGAGAAGACCCGCTCGAACTGCAGACGGAAGTTCTTACAGTCGCCTGCAGGGGGCGCAAGGAGCCAGCGCGGAGAGTTATTACAGTGACACGTTTAAAGTAAAATTAAAATTTATGTTTCAGAGACTTTTTAGTTTTTCTCGATGTTTATTTTTCACACAAAAGACAAAGCTACACTGTGGAACTACCTGCTTCAGTCCTGATTTAATCCCGGTTTAGTCCTGGTTTAGACCTGGTTTAGTCCTGGTTTAGTCCTGGTTTAGTCCTGGTTTAGACCTGGTTTAGACCTGGTTTAGACCTGATTTAGACCTGGTTTAGACCTGGTTTAGTCCTGGTTTAGTCCTGGTTAAAGCCTCTTTTAGTCATGGTTTAGTCCTTGTTCAGTCCTGGTTTAGATCTGGTTTAGTCCTGGTTTAGTCCTGGTTTAGACCTGGTTTAGACCTGGTTTAGTCCTGGTTTAGACCTGGTTTAGACCTGGTTTAGTCCTGATTTAGAACTGGTTTAGACCTGGTTTAGACCTGATTTAGTCCTGGTTTAGTCCTAGTTTAGTCCTGGTTTAGTCCTGGTTTAGTCCTGGTTTAGTCCTGGTTTAGTCCTGGTTTAGACCTGGTTTAGACCTGGTTTAGACCTGATTTAGACCTGGTTTAGTCCTTGTTCAGTCCTGGTTTAGATCTGGTTTAGACGTGGTTTAGTCCTGGTTAAAGCCTCTTTTAGTCCTGGTTTAGTCCTGCTCAAGTCCTGGTTTAGTCCTGGTTTAGTCCTGGTTTAGACCTGGTTTAGTCCTGATTTAGACCTGGTTTAGACCTGGTTTAGACCTGGTTTAGACCTGGTTTAATCCTGGTTTAGTTCTGGTTTTCTAGTTTTAAAATCCAAATCTCACGTGCTTTAGAAATAAAAATGTGTTGTTTTTTTTTCTTTAATTTTCTTTAAATTTTATTGTCCTTGTTCCTCTTCGGTGTGTTTATTTTTCTCGTGTAAAAAACAGGTCAAAGTCCACGATAATAAAGTTTGATGACCTTTTTACGACGTGTAACATGTGACCTGCACCGCGCCGCCACCAGAGGGCAGCAGAGGAACACGTTTGTCTCACGTTTGTTTGTTTGATTCTGATTCTGCAGCAGTGAAAGAACAAAAAGTACAAAAAACACAAAGATACGAAGCAGATCTACGGAAAAACGTGTTAGAGCTACAGTGTGGAACTACCCACTTTAGTCCTGGTTTAGTCCTGGTTTAGTCCTGGTTTAGTCCTGGTTCAGTCCTGGTTTAATCCTAATTTAGTCCTGTTTTAGTCCTGGTTTAGTTCTAATTTAGTCCTGTTTTAGTCCTGGTTTAGTCCTGGTTTAGTCCTGTTTTAGTCCTGTTTTAGTCCTGGTTTAGTCCTGGTTTAGTCCTGGTTTTAGTTCTGGTTTAGTCCTGATTTAGACCTGGTTTAGTCCTGTTTTAGTCCTGGTTTAGTTCTAATTTAGTCCTGTTTTAGTCCTGGTTTAGTCCTGGTTTAGTCCTGGTTTAGTCCTGGTTCAGTCCTGGTTTAGTCCTGTTTTAGTCCTGTTTTAGTCCTGATTTAGTCCTGGTTCAGTCCTGTTTTAGTCCTGGTTTAGTCCTGTTTTAGTCTTGTTTTAGTCCTGTTTTAGTCCTGTTTTAGTCCTGTTTTAGTCCTGGTTTAATCCTGTTTTAGTCCTGGTTTAGTCCTGGTTCAGTCCTGGTTTAGTCCTTTTTTAGTTCTGTTTTAGTCCTGTTTTAGTCTTGTTTTAGTCCTGGTTTAGTCCTGTTTTAGTCCTGGTTTAGTCCTGATTTAGTCCTGGTTTAGTCCTGTTTTAGTCCTGGTTTAGTCCTGGTTTTATCTATTTATTTTTTTTAAGTAAAAGTAAAAGTATCACGTTAAATATCTACTCGAGTAAAAGTATGAGAGTATTTGTTTCAAAACAGACTTAAATAAAGTAAATAAAGTTGTTTTTTTTACCGTGTTGTGAAGCGGCGCTCGGTCCAGACCAGACCAGAGTCCAGACCAGAAGGACCAGAGTGACCAGAGCCATACCTGAGGACACACACACACACAGAGTTATGGATTTGTCCGGAATGTTCCACCGTACGGCATTAAAACTATCTCCATGGAAACAAGCAAATGACATCACACACAAAAAAAAAATCTAACTTAAAATCAGCAGAATTTTTTAGATAAAGTTTCTTCAAGATAAATTCAAATCTTTTTAAGACGTTTTTAAGACAAAAGATACGAAGCAGATCTAAGGAAAAAAACATGTTAAAGCTACAGTGTGGAACTTTCTCGAGGCGGCTCGTGGAAACGTTTAAAAATCAGGCTTTTCCACGGAGACGGACACGATTAATGCCGTACTGTGGAATATTACAGGGTTTAGACCTGGTTTAGTCCTGGTTTAGACCTTGTTTAGTCCTGGTTTAGACCTGGTTTAGTTCTTGTTTAGACCTGGTTTAGTCCTGGTTTAGTCCGTGTTTAGACCTGGTTTAGACCTGGTTTAGTCCTGGTTTAGTCCTTGTTTAGACCTGGTTTAGTCCTGGTTTAGTCCTTGTTTAGACCTGGTTTAGTCCTGGTTTAGACCTGGTTTAGTCCTTGTTTAGACCTGGTTTAGTCCTGGTTTAGTCCTTGTTTAGACCTGGTTTAGTCCTGGTTTAGACCTGGTTTAGTCCTTGTTTAGACCTGGTTTAGTCCTGGTTTAGTCCTTGTTTAGACCTGGTTTAGTCCTGGTTTAGTCCTTGTTTAGACCTGGTTTAGTCCTGGTTTAGTCCTGGTTTAGACCTGGTTTAGACCTGGTTTAGTCCTGGTTTAGTCCTGTGTTTAGACCTGGTTTTCCTGGTTTAGTTCTTGTTTAGACCTGGTTTAGTCCTGGTTTAGTCCTGGTTTAGTCCTGGTTTAGACCTGGTTTAGACCTGGTTTAGTCCTGGTTTAGACCTGGTTTAGTCACATATTGGAGTTTGACAAATTAAACTTTTGAGGAGAAATGCGACACAGAGAAGTTACACTGCACAAATTTTTAGACCCAAATATAAAAATTCAAGACTTTTTCCAGGTCTTTTAAACCAGAGTTTCCAAAAGGTGCTTTCTGGGGACGTCACAAACCTTCACGACTCAAGTCAATAGACATTTTTCTTAAACCACAAAATAAAGGTGGAGTTTTTGAAAAACAGTGATTAAAGCAGCAATAAAAGGATCCAGAAGTCACCTGTTTGGACATTAAATGTAGAACATTTTGTTTGGAAGAAAATAGTCAAATAAAATAATTTAAAAAAATTAGAAATGATACAAAACACGTCTTAAAATCGGAATATTTTTGAGATCAGTGGGTCTGTGTGTGTTTGTAGTGAGTTCAGGAGGAGACGCAGCAGCAGATCAGTGTCAGACTGAACATCAAAGAGTCACATTCAGATCGTGACAAGACGACACAAAAAAGAAAAATCCTCTTGTGACCCACCTGAGGCCCGCGAGCCAGACTTTGGGAAACAATGTTTTAAAGGTTTTATTTCCAAATTCACAAATTAAAAGCTTTTAAAAGTTTTTAAGACACCGCGGGAACCCGGGAGAGTGGGTGAGTGGGCGGTGCTTTAAGTGAGTGGGTGGTGCTTGGAGTGAGTGGGTGGTGCTTTAAGTGAGTGGGTGGTGCTTTAAGTGAGTGAGTGGTGCTTGGAGTGAGTGGGTGGTGCTTTAAGTGAGTGGGTGGTGCTTGGAGTGAGTGAGTGGTGCTTTAAGTGAGTGGGTGGTGCTTTAAGTGAGTGAGTGGTGCTTGGAGTGAGTGGGTGGTGCTTTAAGTGAGTGGGCGGTGCTTGGAGTGAGTGGGTGGTGCTTTAAGTGAGTGGGCGGTGCTTGGAGTGAGTGGGTGGTGCTTTAAGTGAGTGGGTGGTGCTTGGAGTGAGTGAGTGGTGCTTTAAGTGAGTGGGTGGTGCTTTAAGTGAGTGGGTGGTGCTTTAAGTGAGTGGGTGGTGCTTTAAGTGAGTGGGTGGTGCTTTAAGTGAGTGAGTGGTGCTTGGAGTGAGTGGGCGGTGCTTTAAGTGAGTGGGTGGTGCTTGGAGTGAGTGGGTGGTGCTTTAAGTGAGTGAGTGGTGCTTGGAGTGAGTGGGTGGTGCTTTAAGTGAGTGGTGGTGCTTGGTGCTTGGAGTGAGTGGGTGGTGCTTTAAGTGAGTGAGTGGTGCTTGGAGTGAGTGGGTGGTGCTTTAAGTGAGAGACTTCACAAATCTTCTCTGGTCTTCATGAATCACTGGAGAAACATGAGCTCACACACAAAACTCCACATCTGAATTTTTGTCTCGGTTCCAACTGGAGCAGAAACAGTTACACAAAAAGACTGAGACAAAAACATCTAACAATCCACACAACAAACACACAACAAAAACACAACAAACACACAACAAACACACGACAAACACACACAACACACAACAAAACCACAACACCACCTCTGACCTGTGTGTGCGTATGTGTGTGTGTCTGTGTGTGTCACAATAAAACCAGCACTGGAAAATAACCAATTGTTCAAGAGAAATGTTGCTGACCAACCAATAGAAGAGGGAAGGATTTTCTGACTAGTGGGCCTTCTGACTAGTGGGCTTTCTGACTAGTGGGCTTTCTGACTAGTGGGCTTTCTGACTAGTGGGCCTTCTGACTAGTGGGCCTTCTGACTAGTGGGCCTTCTGACTAGTGGGCTTTCTGACTAGTGGGCCTTCTGACTAGTGGGCTTTCTGACTAGTGGGCTTTCTGACTAGTGGGCTTTCTGACTAGTGGCTTTCTGACTAGTGGGCCTTCTGACTAGTGGGGCTTTCTGACTAGTGGGCCTTCTGACTAGTGGGCTTTTCTGACTAGTGGGCTTTCTGACTAGTGGGCTTCTGACTAGTGGGCCTTCTGACTAGTGGGCTTTCTGACTAGTGGGCCTTCTGACTAGTGGGCCTTCTGACTAGTGGGCTTTCTGACTAGTGGGCCTTCTGACTAGTGGGCCTTCTGACTAGTGGGCCTTCTGACTAGTGGGCCTTCTGACTAGTGGGCTTTCTGACTAGTGGGCCTTCTGACTAGTGGGCCTTCTGACTAGTGGGCCTTCTGACTAGTGGGCTTTCTGACTAGTGGGCCTTCTGACTAGTGGGCTTTCTGTCTAGTGGGCCTTCTGACTAGTGGACGTACACATGCACTGGGACACTTCATCTAAACGATCTCCGATCAGAGTCAGTACAGACACAGGAACATATTTTGAAGCTTGAAGTTTACACGTACACGGGTATTTTTAAAAATGATGCCACATGAACAGTGTTGGGAAGTTTACTTTTAAAATGTAATCCCCTACAGATTACAGATTACACACCCCAAAATGTAGTTTGTAACAGAATCCATTAAATTACTTAAAGTGAGTAAAGTAATCTGAATACTTTGGATTACTTGATTTGCTGTAGAGAAACAAAGACGAGGAAATCGTAACAAAAGATGTTTTGTCTGATAAAAGAAAATAAAAAAGTCCAGATTTACTGAACCAAATTAAAAATATTATTGATAGAAAACGAAGAAACACGTCCATGCAGCATGTTTTAGACCTGGTTTAGACCTGGTTTAGACCTGGTCTAGATCTAGTTTAGACCTGCTTTTAGTCCTGTTTTAGTCCTGGTTTTAATCCTGGGTTTAGTCGTGGTTTTAATCCTGGTTAAGACCTGGTTGAGATCTAGTTTAGACCTGGTTTAGTTTCCAGGAATGAGTGGAATAACTGGGGGAAAAAAAGGGGATATTGCACAGGAAAATCCCTCTGTGTAATCCATTTATTTCAACAAAGTAACTGTAATCCAATTCCCACTCACTGAAACAGTAACTGTAACTGAATACAGTTACTCATCATTTGTACTCTGATTACTCTGGTACATGTAATCTGTTACTCCACAACACTGACTATGAAAGGTCTTTTTCTGGTCTTTCAAAGAAAAATTATTTTTCACAGGCCATAAATTCCATGTGAAAATGGGACCATGTTGTGTTTTCTTGTTTTTAACAGGAGCTTCACACATAAACTGTTTCAAATGTTCAACATTTGGTGATTTTTTTAACAGTCCAGTTCAAATCTTGATTCTCAAAAAAGGGTTTAAAAAGGGGCTAAAAATGGTACGTCACGGAAATGAACATGTTTTTTTATTTTTTATTTTTAAGTTCATATAAATGACAATGAGGCTTTTGAGGAGCCACGATGGACGAGTGCGACTGAGATGTTTGTTTCTGCTCGAGTGGAAACTTTGGAAGCTGCACTAAGAATTTTAATGTACAGTTTTATCTGCAGACTGAACAAATCAGACAATGAAATAATAATGTCGCTCACAAATTTGAGATTCAGTGCAATAAATGATCAGTCCAACACGTGGAGACACTGGTGAGGTTCTTTTAAAAACATGAATGATTATTGTTTTGTGTTGTCACTGTCCTTGTCGGTTTTTTAAATGGACCATGAGTCCAGAATAAAGATGATGATGATGATGAAGATGAAGATGATGAAGATGATGATGATCAGCGCTCGCTCTGTGTCCGTCCTCCACTCTCTGTTTTTTCATGTTCAATCTTCTTACATAGGAAATAAATAAACGTTTTGCTTTGCGTTTCACTGGCGATGAGGCGGACGTGAATAATGACGGGACATAATCTGGAGAAAGTGGGTTTTCATTCTAAATACCTACGAGAAAAAAATACTTTTGATATCTATAATTTCATTTAGTGTAAATCTCTTTTTGGTTTGTGTGGAGCTGGTCCTTCACTCAGTGGCTCCATCCGTCTGTTTTTCTGTCGCTCTCCACCTCCATCTTTATCAGCTGAGATCTGATACAAACACTTTGTCTTTCTTTAACAGACCGACTCAGAACAGCAACACAGCTCAAAACTATTGTCATTCAATTCAGATTTTATCGCACACAAATACGACACGTTGGTCCAGATGGAGAGTTTGACTCCGATACAGCGACAGAAACAACAGGTCATGTGATTATGTGACGCAGACACAAAACCTTAATAGTTCAAAAAATACTGTATGTGGGTTCAGTCAAGTGTTAACG